TAACACTTCTTTTCTTTTCCTAAATGAAAAGTAATTGAAATTGTGCTCTCCACATAAGCAACGTGCACACCCTTCAACCATGGGATTCGTGCCTCTCCATTCTTCTCCAAGACAAATAATGAAAAGACAAAAGAAGTGCAAAGAAAAGGTCCCACCTACTGGACTAAATCCTAATGGTTTAGAAGAAAAGTATCACCGTGTTTGATTTCTAGAAGAAAAAGAAAGCCTAATTGGATTTGATAGCACCTACTCCCACCTAATCTACTTCTTCATTTCACAAAGAAAAGAAATCTCCAAAGCATTAAATCACCAAATGAAAGTGATAAAGGCTGCTAGCATGCACACTTCTTCACAGCAAAATAACACTATAATTTCATAGAATATAAAAATAAAAATCTGGTTCAAACATGAAGATAAAAACAAGACCACATGCTCTTCAAAATTCTTCTCGGTTCCAACACAAAAAAGAAAACGAAAACCTTCTACACTACTGCAGCGTCACCATGTGTACCACTTCATCTCTCAATATCCATGGCGGCTGGAGCACACCTCAACCATTCTCCGCATCTGCTCTATAAGGTGGCTCTTTCCAAAATAGCCAAGTCATTCTCTCCCCCTCCGTTTCAGTGTTCAAAAGCCAAGAAAAATAAAAATAGTAACCAGTAGCGGAAAACCAGAGAAGAGTGCAGCTGGAGCCATCCTCCTAGGTTGCGGCTGGGTCCAGGTGCTGGAAATTGCTGGACATAGCTTCACTTCTTGCTGGATACACCCCTCTTGGACCAGCTGCTACCATCTCTTCTTCTAATGTGGAGAACGTTGCTGGACTTCACGTAGACCAGGTCGTGTGCTTTGCACCTCCTTGCTGCCAGCGTGTCCAATGAAGGCTGGATGAAGAATTGAAGGCCTCTTTTCTGGACTGTGCCCGTGAAGCCTCCGTGTCAAGCTGCTGTGTGCACCTTCCTTGCTGTCAGCGTGTCCAGCACCATCTCCAAACTTGTTGGACCAAGGTTGCCTCTTCAAAGCTTGCTGGAAGCGTGAAGGTTGTTATTCGCGTGGATCCAATTGAAGGACGTGAAGGCTTCCTCTGCTGGGCTCTCGTGTTGCTGCTTTCTAGGTGTGGGCCGAATCTCTCCAAGCACACACCTCCCAGACGCTGATGCACTTCCTGGACGCGTGTGATGCTGAAACAATGAAGATGTGGGCCGCGTGTGCTGCTGGAAAAATGTTGTCCGTGTGCTTGCTCCTTAATGAAGCTTCCAAGCTTGCTGGACGTGGAGCCCCTTGCTTGACGCTGGATTAGGCCGTGTGCATGTGAAGTGCTTTCTAGTTGAATCCAAGCCAAGACCGTGATTATCCTCATATTCTTTTCTCCCAATCCTTGCTGGACCGCTGTACCTTGTGTTGCTGTTGTCCGCGTGAAGATAGTTGGGAGGATGAAGTCCGCTGCTGCTGGGCCATGTGCTGATGTGTGCACCCAAAATTCAATCCGTGCACCTCCCTTGCCGGACCGCTTCTGGACTTCAATTTGCTGGATGTCACTCCCAAGCTGCTGGAATAAATCACCGCTTCATCTCCAACTCATTCCCGTGCACACCAACTTCTCTGCAAGCGTGGGCCGAAAGTGTCTCTTCATACAATTGCTGGATAAGGTGTAGGTCGTGTGCTTTGCTTGTGCACCTCCCTTACTCTAAACACACCACTTGAAATCCACTTCTCCAAGCCCAAAACAAAATCAGCTATTCCGTGTGCACTCCCATAATTGAATTTCACACCTCGTATTTGCTTAGTTTAAAGTATATTTGATGTGGCATTTATTTTGACCTCCAAATGTCCCAAATATTATCCAACAATTTTCTCTGCAATTAATAATGCAAATAATTAGCTCAGATAATTCAAATTAATTAAAATACGAATTTCTGATCAAATTAAGCACAATTAGGAAAAATGGGAAAATACTGGTCATTCAAGCGCAATTCCCTGATTAAATTCGGTACAATAAGCTAAGTGAAATCGAGAAAATATTGACTCATCACTCGTCTAGCTTTTGTTGTGTGATTGTAATGCATGCATATATGTTTTATTGTGTGGATTCCATGAGTATGTTGACTGTGTGGATTGCATGTTTATGTGGTTTAGGTAGATTGTTGTGTGGATTTCTTTACGGAAGAGCTTGAAAACATAATCGATTATGTAACTTAGATAGTCGATTATTTTAACATTATTCCTAGTTTCATTTCCATTTGCCTTTTCTAATATATTATGTTATCTATATAACAAATTATGTTTTTCTCTATGTTTTAATCGATTATGCAACTTATGTAATCGATTATAACAGACAGTTTTTTTTTGTTTTTGCATTCTATATGTTCTGACTTAATCTAATGAATTAGATTACTTATGTAATCGTTTAATACTACTAGAAATATAGATTTTTTATCTGTTTAGGCCTATTTGATTCATCCTTTCATGATTAATACATCTAACACAAACATGGTTATAGATTTAAACATTTGTTTACTAATTATGTTGTGCAAGAATGATTAAAACCATTTCTATATATTATTAACCATTCATCGTCAAAAACCAATATGTTTACGAGTCTAATGCTCCCCTTATCAACAAGTATAGTATGTACATGTATTTAATGATTTATATGTTGATGGAATGTTGAAGCATGTTTCGTAAAATATGTGTTTAGTGCAAGTCTAAGCTTTTCCAAGTAATTACAATTGATAAGATATAACTTTTATTGATTCTTTCTCTAGACACACTTTTGTCAAATGTTGTTTAATCTTTTTATACTAGACACGTCATGGTTTGTCTTATAAACATTTAATAATAATGCACTTTGTCCATACACTATATTTCTCTAAACTATATTTCATTAAGTGTTTTTTGTTAAACTTCAAAACTCAAGATGCTAGACAATTTATTCTCTTTAGACAATCTTATTTTTACAATATCCCTCTTTTTTGTGTTTACCAAATAAACATGCTAAACAAAATATGTTTGTGAGGATTTTGAAAGAATTTCAACCCTATTAATCAGAGTGTAAATATTTCACAAATATTTTAATATGACTTGTTAGAGCACAAGTTTTATCTTTATGAATAGTTTACTCATATAACTGTTAAATGTCATATCTTTATTAAATGAGATGTTACAAAATACTAAAATATTAAAATAATTAAAATTTGCTAAAAGTTGTAACTATGATTCCTATGTAATTTAAAAATAATATTTAAAATTAAATTTTTAATCAAACTTTTAATTATCCTTTTGAAATGTACAATTATAGTCTTTGAAATTATAATTATACATAAAATGTACATTTATTAAATGTACAATTAGTAGTTTTAATTAAAAATTTATATATTAATGATGTTAATTATAAGTATGAACTTTTAATATACAATTAATAATTAATATATACATATAGACTATTTTTATTATTAATATACAATTAATAAATCATTATATATATAATATATATATATATATATATATATATATATATAATTATACAATTAATATATATATATATATTATATATATATATATATATATCAATTAAAAGTATTAATAATATAATCAAATTAATAATAATATGTAAAAAAATAATAATAAAATGTTATAAATATAATTCAAATATTTTTATTTAATAAAATAGTATAAAGAACATACAAAAAAAGACACTTACAATATGAATTTCAGAACTTGATTCCGGACTAACCTTTCCTTTTTAAATAAATTAAAAATATATATTTTATTTATAGTATAAGAAATTATTTTATAATTAAACTTTAGTAATTACTTTTTGAAATATAATAACAAAATTTAGAAATACTTTGATATTTTATACTAAAATTACTAAGTTGAAATTTCTTTTTATCATTTCTTAATTATTTTTAAAAATCAATATTATTTTGTAAAATATAATTTAGAAATAAAATAATTTTAAATTAACGAATGAAGAAATTTGAAATATTGCAGAAATTTATTATATCGTATTTTTATAGATATTTTTGAAAGAGTTTTTAATTTAGGTTTGTATAGAAATAGAAAAGCCTTTTTTGTAACATGTACAGTTTGGTTACCATATTTTCTCATTAGTCACATAATTGATATTGTTATCCCTTAATTTGTTTTTTTGTATAAACTTTTATATAAGCTGTTCTTTTGCTTGCTGTCTGTATACTCTTCTCTATCAATAAAATCAGATATTTATTTCTTTGTCGTTTTTTTTTCCTGTTTTACATGGCATCAATAGCTTAAGCTTATACCATAACTTCCACCCTTTTTTTTTTCTAACCTTGAATATACTTCAACAGTCAATCTTGTCGATCTTTAGGAAGTTATTACATCTCTTCTCACTAGAACCGATCCTTACATGTACAGGAAATGGAGTCTCTACTTTTGTCCCAAAAAAGACGATTAGATAATTACAAACTGAAGAACACTCTGCTCCAAAATTTTCTACTACCAGCACCAAAAATACAATTCTTCACACAAGAAGAATAACGGATATCAGTCTAAGAAATACCCTTTCAACCACAATCCAAAATTTTATGAATTCAAGATGTCCTATATACAACCGAATACCTATCATTTCTCTCAATTATACTAGTATATAACTCGTTCCTAATCAAATCATGTATGACTTGCGAGATATGTTAATTAATTTATTAATTATTGTATTTATTGATGTACTAAGCTAACTTAGATGTCAGATACAATATTTACCCAACTCAAAAAGAACAAAAACCCAAGAGAACGAATACCAGAAGAAGAACGAGTACTCCGAATATTGAAGACGGGAAGTGTTTGAAAAGCTTTTGAAAATCTTTACGGGGACACAATCAGTTCCAGAAGAACACAATAATTCAAACAAAGCATCGGTAACCACAATTTTCCTGCATCGTAATACAATTATAAACATGCAATCTAATATTGAAGTGGTGAATCTGAAAAACGTTACAGTTCATCCGTCAAGTACTCTCATTAAAAATGTGCCCCTAAAATCGATTAAAAAATGTTGCCACTTACAAATTGATGAATACCAAGCGCATAGTGCTTGGTGATTCCACTCTAAAAATTAATTTGAATGCAACTGGCAGGACTTGAAACTGCCATACTATACAAATAACCAATTTTTCAATAAAAGGAGATGGCATCCTTAGTATTATTTTCTCATGTTACTGTTCAACAAATAAACACATTTTGAAGTTGTCTTCCTATGATAAGCCCTTTGGAAACCTGAATTTCCCGGCCTCTTGAATTTATTGGAAAAAAGTGTAAATTATTAGATGAAGTCAGGTTGACCTGTTGAAGTTAAGCAACGATGCCACATTCGACTGTTGGGGTCCACCAGCCTAGGATGAGATATCACTTCCGGGATGGGAAAGTAAGCATAGTGAGTGTTACATAAGCCTACTGTAATGCCACTATATCCTGCAAACGCACCATGAACCTGCAATGCAGAAGCTGTGAATCAGTATCAGATGGAAAATAACAGAAATACACATACTGTTAAGTATTGGACGCTGGAGGAATTGCATTTATCTTGCAGAAGATCAACATTCAAACCTATCTGCTTTTATTGCAAAAATATATAAAAAATTGACATAGAGAGAGAGTGTGACTAACAGCATTTTGTCCAAGTACAGTGCATAGAATTCCATCCGATGCATTTGCTCGAATTGCGCGGATCATGTACGTTGGATCAATGTATTTTACATCAGCATGAATACCAATTTCCTTGAAATACTTTTTTATCTGAAACAAAACAGAGGTCAGCATAAAGTACGAAGGAAAAAACATACTTTAAATGAAGGCAGCTATCTACTTTACAAAAGAACTTAATACATTTGTCCAATTTGACATACAACCATAGTACACAGCATAAACCAAAATAACATAGTGGACGTTACACCAAAAATTAGCAGTTGATTTCCACTAATTTTTAACAGAAATGATAGTAGGGAAGCAGCCAAAGATCAGAAATTTACAACATCATTAAAAGTTTAAATATTAAAAGATTCAAAGAATTATACGTTTCACTTGTGATGGCAAATCCCTTAGCCATGGTCAAGCACTTTCAAGAGAGTAAAAGTCATCCTTAAAGATGGTGTCAACTCTACCTTGTGGACCACTGTTGGAGCCATCATGAAGCATGAATTGAAGAGTAGTTAGGAATTTAGGCATTTGTATTAGGCCATGTAGTGTAGGTTTGATTAAGGCTTGTATTAAGACCTAAGTAGCAGATTTTCCCTAAGTTAGATATCCAAACCAAGTGGAAAGTGTGTCATGTGTCATGCTTTCATTGGAGAGGATATGCTTTTTAAAAGGTAGCCACATGGCACCCTAGGAGTGGAGAGGATTTACTTTTAGTAGTGGCCACATGGCACTCTAGGAATGGAGAGGATTGTGTTTTATGAGTGGCCACATGTCCTCCCATCATTGGAGAGGTTAGAAGGCCTCATTTTTTGCCAATGAGAGCAAAGATGGGAGATCATGCTTTTAGGGTTAGAAGGAGACACCCTTGGCCTATAAATAGAGGTGTCTCCACCCTTGTATTTCATCTTGGAATTAAGTAATGTTATGCTGCCAAAATATGGCCATACTCTTTCTTGATCAAGACTAGAACAACCCTAGAGGCCCTTCTAGTCACCTTCCTCCTTGAGTTGGCCTAACTTCTCTTGGAGCCACAAACACTACACCACCACCACCATATCTCCTAGAGGCTTTGAGCTTCTACCCCATCCATACCTTAGCTCATCCTCCTTAGACCATTTACCACCACATTTCCGCACCATTCATCCAAGGAAACACACCTACATGCACATCTCCTAGCTTTGGCCCAACCTAGCCAAGAAAGTATTATGTCATGTCAGAACATCTAAAGCTTTGACATCAATGTGTGTTCTTAAGGAAACTTTCAGAAATAATAACACTCTTAAACAGGTACCATCATCATAGTCAACTGGAAAGATGTTAAGTCATTACATTGCTACTTGCATAAACAGATCTACATAATCGTTTCCTTAAAATGTGTAAATTCTATTTTCATGTTTCCCAAATCTTCTTCCTTTCACAAACGGCATGATCTCAATTTCAAGGATTTTACTTCTTACTGGGTGGAAATTGGCTTCAAATTCAATTTGAATATTTAGAGAATACTGTTTAGTTTTGCTGTACTAAGAGAGCAAAATCACAAAGATAGTAATACATAGTTAATTTAGAATACACTGATGTAGTGTCACATTAACTTGATAGTAATTTTAGCCATCTTAGATATAATTTTTCATATTTGTTTCAAAATTCTCAATGTATAACAAATTAAAGAAAAAAAATCTATAATCAGGTATCATCCCTTTCAGATTACTGTATCCTCCATAAACATAATACAAACCTCTTGTTGAATATATACTCCAATATCTCCCAGTACAACATTTCCCGATGCATCTGTAGCATTTGTCTTTTGGAGTAAATTCTGCATAAGAATCAATTAACAAAAGTTTAAGTTTGTACATCTGAATGTAAAATGCAGTGATTTTTTTGCAGTCTTCTTAATATGACATTGATTCTATCTATTAAATAACCTGTCCAGCTCCCTCTGCCACACAGACAACAGCTGATCCCTTCGTTTCTAAAAGGAACTTGAGATGACTCAATACTCCATGAGGTCCATGAAAATTGAACGGAACCTTGGAACCATGTCAAAATTTCTGTAAGTTTATCAGTATGTCAGAAAACGAGACCATCGAACTAATTTATCTTACATACCTCAGGAATCAAGCATATGTCAACCTGTCCACTAGACAGGGAAGCCTGCATTGCTATGAATCCACTGCTACGGCCCATCAATTTCACAACCCCAATTCCATGATATGCACTATGTGCCTAATAATAAACAAGGGAAAATGTGCAGATATTTAATGTACTGAAAAGAAACTATCCATGAATTGAGTCAACATGACATAGAATAAGAAGTTATATACCTCAATGTATGCAGAATTTATTGCCCTTTGTGCTTCTTCAACAGCAGTATCAAACCCAAAAGTTTTATCCATCAATAAAATATCATTGTCAATAGTTTTGGGCACGCCTATTACAGATACCTTCAACCGTCTTTTGCAGCACTACAAGGAAGAAAATATCTCAGTTCATAAAAAGACACACAAAGTAGCATGTCAAGCCCAAAAATTTGCTGAATTGCCTATGATATTTGTTAGGTTCCTGGGTTTGGAACCTAACAAGAAAACACTCAAAAGATAGAAACAGAAATGAAAGAATGAGTTTTGCTATTATTCACCGTAAACGAATCTCTTTACAAGGACTGGGTTTGGGAGCATAACCTCCCTCTAGAGAGCCTAACCTCCCTCCTCAGGATGACAAACCCGGTTAGACTACAATCAAAACAATCAACCCCCCACTACAATTGATTATTTGCTATTTATACAACCAATAACCCCGCTCTTCCTAACTGCTAAGGCAATTAAGGCAGTTAAGGCAGTTAGGCATTTAATGTTTTATTCCTTCACCTTAAACTCTCCATCCCTAACAATATCACATAATTCAAATTTCAAATAACAGAACAGTAATGTCCATCTTAATGTCAAAACTGAACTATAAAAAAAAACAAAAAAGGAAAAGTCAAATCAAACCGAAAATTGACATTCCAAAATTTCCAATGGAATTTTCCAATTAAGAAATTCAATCTAGATAATAACTCAAATTGCATGAAACTAGGTGATAAAGGTCTAACGATTAACAACCTCGTGGTGAATTGCATTTGCACCAGCATGTGTACCGTTTCCACCCAATACAAAAAGCATGTTGATCCCTCGTTCCTGCAATCAATAATATACACATTTGAGAATATTAATCTAACAAAATAGCACCTGTATCATAAAAAGCCTTATACATCTCTGAAATTTTCAATCAGTTGTTAATATATTAGATCAAGAAACCACCTCCAAACTGTCCACAATATCACTGACTGCAGGTCCTCCTCGTGAAACTCCCAACAGGCTTCCACCAGAAAGATGAATATTCTGCACAACTTTTCTTGATAGCTGCAAATGAAAGCTCCAATACAGTCAAAATGCATTAGAAAGAATAACTGGTGTTCTACAGACTGTACCTTTAGATGAATCACCTGCTACACCAAAATCAGAAATGAGGGAAAAATGAGATTACCGGTACTTCAGTCAATTCTTTGTCAGAAAATCCTCGATAGCCAAAAGGAATCCCCACAATGTTTTTCACACCATATATTTCAAGGGTGATTACAATCTGCAGAACAGTCAATATTAAAGCCATTACATGGAGAAAAAAAAAAGAATATACTAGTGACCAAAATAACCAGAACTAAGTTTAAAAAGGAGCTGAAATAGGAAAATTTTGTACATTAATACCTGGAATTATACACAAAAAGGAAACACAATAAACTGTCCTCATACTGCAGGAGGAGGAATACAAGGACAGATTAGTTGGTTAGTTGGTTATCTGGCAGCTAGCTGTAGTGTTGGTTTTTCTACTATAAATGACCGTCTTAATGAAGGGGGGTATGGATGTAGTTTTTGTTTGAGAAACAACTGTGATATCTAGTGTAAAAGAAGAGAGTGCTCCTTTGGGTACATGTGTACATTTTTCTTATCTATTCTAGCTTAATGAAGAGTCCTTTCTTCTTTCTCTATTTTTTTTCCAGACTCCAAATTGTTTGTTCTGTAAGCACAATTAGTCAATATCTTAGGTATGAGCATTTTATACGCCAGAAAAGTAGGTGATCATCAAATGAAAACAGGAATATGAATTAAAATGTTTCATTCATCTGGGAACTTTTCACTAACCTAACTTTCAGACCACCAGCTAGCCTTTACTGCCTTAAGGATTTACTATATTCAAAACTTAAGGTTAAAACTATGTGAAATGCAACATAATCAATAACTAACCTGTCTAATTACATCATTAAGACCAGGGCAGAGCCCTCCACAAGTAACAATTGCTGCCTTTACTTCTTCTGGTTTAAAGTATATCTTTCCCCGAGGTCCAGCTCGATGAACCCTAAAATGATTTCAAAACAACTTAGTAATATTACAAAACCACTCGGGATATAAGCTAACATAAGGAAATAACATCATACACCAGAAGATGTACTAAAATATTGAAACCAGAAACTAGAAGTAAAACAACCATTTGATAATCCAAATAAAAATAGGAAAAAATAAATTGGCAGTATTATTAGAGCAATAGTGTTAGGTTCCAAACTTGGGAACCTAATATCAATTCTCACTTTCACTCCAAGAAACACAGAAAGATTGGAAGAAATCAATTGTATTCACAGTAAA